CCGCCCCCCCCCGCACCGAAAGCTGATGGCAGTTGAGGCCGTTGGGGCAGCTGGAGCTGACATAAAGTGAGAACTGTTGGGGGGAGGAGGAGGGAACAGAGCTCCGAGCCCCCCCGCGCCACCACCCTGGGAACCCCTTGACTCCCCCCATGGACCCCTCAGGCACAGCACCAGTGCCCTCAGCTTGGAGCCCCCTCACCCCTATGTGGTGTTTTCAGGAGGGGGGTCACGGCCAGGGCTGACTCAGGGCCTATTTATAGGGAAAGAGAAGTGGGGAGGGAAAATCAGGCGGGTCCAAAATCCCCTAAAATCCAGGCTTGGGGGGAAGGTGGGGGGGTGGAGCGATGGCCGCCCCCCTCCCTGGAAAGCCCCACTGTGCTATGGGGCCCCTATGGGAGATGCATTGTGGGGTGGTGCTGCCCAGCAGGCCAAGACACGTTGTTCGTTAACACGCTGCTCGTTAATGTTCTCGTTAACACACATCCGTCCGTGCCCCACCCCAACGCTGGGACTCCCATCCCTGGGGGGGGGGGGTCTGGGCTGGGTGAGGCTGTATGGATCCATGTGGATCCCATGAGGATCCCGTGTGGGTCTGGGGTATTTCCCATGCAGATTCTGGGTGGGCCCATGGGAATCCCACATAAATCTGTGTGGATTCCATGTGGTCCCATGCAGATCCCGTGTAGCTCCCATGCAGATCCCATGTAGCTCCCATGTGGTCCCATGCAGATCCTGTGTAGCTCCCATGTACATCATATGTAGGTCCTTACGGAGCACATACATGTTGGTTCTGCATGGATTCTATGTGAAACCCGTGTAGCTCCCATGCAGATCCCATGTAGCTCCCGTGTACATCACATGTAGGTCCTTACGGAGCACATATATGTTGGTTCTCCATGGATCCCATGTCAACCCCATGTCTGTGCATGAAGATCCCATGTGGATCCCATGTACCAGAGTTGAGAGGACCCTGCAGCCCCCCCAGTTCTGCCCAACAAGCTCAGCCCCACGCGTGTCCCCTGCCCCCCCCACAGCGCTCACCCCATCCCCCATAAGCCCCGCCCCTTTCCCACTCGGGGGCGTGACCAGACGTGTGGGCGTGGCTTCGCCCGCTAAATGGGCGTGGCCAGCGGGCTGCGCAGCCAATGGGACGCGCTTCCGCCCCGCGCGGGTATAAGGCGCGGCGACTGTGGGTTACAGGTTCGATTCCCGTCGCCGTCTTCTCGGTTCTGTGTTCGCCGTTCTGGTTCCGTGCGCGGTTCCGCTGCCGGTTCGGCCGCATGTGCGCGCGGATGGAGCCTCCGTTTTTCCGTTCTCCGCCTTCCCCGGCCGCTTTCTGCCGCCCGGAGCCCGATTACAGCATGCTGCCCGCGGGCTGGGCCCCCACGGAACCGTTCCGTGCGCTCAAACCGTGCACCGACGGCGGATTTTTCGGTGGCGGCGGCGGCACCGGAGGGGGGGGGACTTTTTTCTACCCCCCCACGGCGGAACGCGACTCTTTCCCCACGAGCTTCGCGCAGGCGCTGGATGAGCTGCACCACCCCGGACCCCCCAACGTCAGCCTCCCGGAGCCCCCCCAGGGGATGGCGGCACCGGGGGGGTCCTTTCAAGCGGTCCCCACAACGGAAGGATCACCGGAGCAGCCCCAAGCGGCGGAGTCTCCCGAAAGGCTTCAAGCGGAGAGACGGCGGCTGAGGAACCGGTTGGCGGCGAGTCGGTGCCGGCGGCGGAAGCTGGAGCGGATCGCTCGGTTGGAGCAGCGGGTGCGGGGATTGCGGGCGCAGAACGCCGCGTTGGCGGCGGCGGCTGCCGGGCTGCGCGCTCAGGTGCGGCGGTTGCGGGGCTCCGTGCGGGACCACGCGGGGTCGGGCTGCCCGCTGCCGCACGGAGCCGCGCTCGGCTTCTAAAGGGAGGTGGGGGGGGGTCTTGCGGGGTGAGGGACCCCGCGGAGAGCACGGAAACCCCCCATCAAATAGAGCCCCGGCGGCTCCTGATGAGACTATTTAGGGGTCTTCTAAGGGACCCCCCCGCACACAGCGGCTCCAGATGGCACTTGAGGGGGTGCTTCCACACGATGCGGACCCCGCCGCGCTGACGGCAACGGATGGGAGTTTTGAAGACCCC